GCAGCGTGGTGCCGGCGGTGGCGGGGAGCCGTGGGCCAGTGAGCCCCGAGTCGGTCGTCCGGTGTGTGTTACAGCGGTAGGTGATTGGCTGGAGAAACAAACGGACGAATCCCTAAACCTTCTGTGTTAACCAACACAGTTGTGTGACTTTGGGATCTGGCTAATTGTTTAGGGTGAATATTTCTCAAAGTTGATGGCGAAAGAGTGAGTTTGTGGTAATACAAACATTGTGGTATTACATTGTGGTATGTGTTGATTGAACGAGAGTTCAGTTCCCAGAGCAGTCTTATAACATGACTGGGCCAGGAGGACTTCCTAGGTAGCACATGTGTTTCCCAGCAGTCAGGATGATGGCAAGCACCGAGACCTCTTACCGGTATTACAAATATAGAGATATAATGCAATACCGGATAGCTAATGTCCTTTTCTTTATTATTTCCCTTGTGTTTTTGAGACCTAGTGGGTCACATGCCAGCATTTTTAAGGCCATGGTCGTTCAGGCAGGTAAATGGGTTGAAATGCTTCTTTAGAAGCATTAGACATGCATACCACAAGATGGTGACAGTGGCAGGCACCTGACTACGGACCTTGGGTTAGGGGATGGGATGTCAAAAGGGATTGCGTGCGCCCCCTTTCTCAGAGTGCTCTGAAATCAGCTCCTGGGTTGAGGGGAGCTTGTATATAAATGTATAAATGGGACATCGCAGCACCTTCAGGGGTTTGTGTGTATAGGCGATGCCACTGATCCAAAACCTCTACTCTCTTTTGAGAACTGTTTCTTTTATGTTAAGCTTTAACAAAGTGGCTGCTGTGGTCTAGTACTTGTAGGTGGCACAGACCTTACAAATTATGTCTGAAAGCAAGGGTTCTGTCATAAAACACTTCTGGGAGGACTTGCTGTTCCTGGGTTTTGCAAGTTCCCAACTCAGAAGTGCGACGACTTCCTTACATGAGGATCCCTGCAGTCTTCAATGCTTCCCTACTGGGCAGATCCAGCAGTTACACCAAAAGGAGCATGGGGCTTCTGAAACTAAACGTCTCTCTCTTTTTTTTTTTTTTAATTTTATTTTAATTACTATGAGTTTCTTTTGAGGGAAAAATATGTTTTGCCCTCAGGCAGCTGTCACCCATATAAATGACGAGTTGTTAAAGGCCTTTTGAATCCTTTCCTTAATGCTGTCGACTGTGGTGAGACTCTTCCACACTGTTAGTTGAATTAGCATGACCCACTGTCCCCTGTCTAAGACCAGCATATCTGCAGATGTGGCTTTCTTAGTCTATGCAAGTAGAATTACAGTAATCTGAATAATACTCTAAACTGGTGCATATATAAAGTGGTGAAATGCTTTATCTTCATAAATTATTTAGATGGCATTTTCACTTGCCAGACCTTAAAAGATTAAATAGCATGTAACTATAGGGGAAATGCCAATCCAGGTATATACGTGTTTTCTTTTAAAGAGAAATAGTGTAATTGGTCAAAATAATCTGCCAGGTTGCTTTTAGCAATCCAGGTTGCTTCTCTGTAGTCTCTTCCACACATCCTTCACCTAACAGCCTGTAGTGGCTGCACCTTGAGAAACAGTTCCTCATGCCAAGCAGGGGTATTAGCCCCGAATACCATTTTGAAGTCGTGGAAATCTCATGCACATTGCTGGCAGGGACTACCTGAAGTTCACAAGCCACCACCAGCCTTGCTTGGTTGTTACTGCCTTAACTCAGGCTGTGCTGTAGTGGAAGTTAGGATTTGGATCAGCTGCAAAACCAGCTTTTTGTAATTGTTGAATAAGTAATCCCATTTTAAAGGATGAATAAGTGTTGCCTGGTAATCATTATTTCAGTACTACCCTGCTTTATTTGGTAGAACTGTCTCTGTTTACATGTCCTTCAGGACCTCGCATCTAGCCAAGCTCAAGGTCTTAAACTTCTCAAGAGAACATGAAAATCTAGTATGGGTTCAAGATGCTCTCTTTTCTCTGCAGATGAGGCTGCAGGTTAATTAACTGGAACTTTCAGTAATTTTCAAAACTGTGTTAGAAGTGTTGTTGTAGTTGAATATAAGCCTGTGACTACAGTAGTGTACTAGGCTTGGCTGGGATGGAGTTAATTTTCTTCATAGTAGCTTGTGTGGGGCTATGTTTTGCATTTGTGCTGACAACAGTATTGGTAACTCAGGGATGTGTTAGTCACTACTGAGCAGCACCTGCATAGCACCCAGGGCCGTTCTGCTGCTCCTGCAGCACAGCCAGCGAGCAGGCTGGCAGGCACAAGGGGTTAGGAGGGGACACAGCCATGACAGCTGACCCAACTGACCCAAAGGATGTCCTGCACCAGATGATGCTGGGGGGGAGGCTGGTTGGGGGGGTGCTGCCCAGGGACTGGCTGGGCATGGGTTGGTTGGTGGTGAGCAATTGTTCTCATTTGCATTGCTTGCTTTTCTTGGTTTTTATTTTCCTCTCTCTCTTCATTGGTTGGTTGGTTTTTTTCCCCTTACAAATACTTTTCTTAAAAAGTTTTATTAAATTTTGTTATTTATTAAACAGTTTTATTTTAACCCACAACTTACTTTCTCACTTTTACTCTTCCGAAAATTCTCCCCACCACCTCACCGGGGCCAAGGGGAGAGTGAGCAAGTGGCTGTGTGTTGTTAGTTACCAGCTAAGTTAAACCATGACAAGTTTGTTATCTAAATTATCTATTTTTTTTTTCTGCCACAGGGAAAGGTAGAGTTGAATGATCAGAATTTGTAATGCATGTATTTTATTTTTCGTTTCTTTTTTTCTTTAGACTCTCTTCTGTCCCCACCACCACCATCCCAGTGATGTGTATTTTATTAGTGTGAGAGTAGACCTTTCACTCTTTGAATTCTTTGACACTGTGAATGGGGAGATCTAATATGTCAGCTGCACTGTAGGACTTAGGATGTTCATATCTCAATTTCCTTCCCAGTTTTTTTTTCTGTTGTCAGTTGAAAATGTACAGAAAAGAAAAACTGCCACTTTTTCGCATCTCCAAGACTTGAGTAGAAAACAGTGCGACATGCATTACGTCTGGCATTTGTTTCTTTTCTTCTTCAAATTTTGTGGGGTTTTCTTGGATGTAAGATACCAGGTACTGTTTAAATGATCCACTGGTGTGAAAAAAAGCTGTAGGGTCACCTGCTGCTCTGCTCATGTTTGTTCTTTTCTTTTTTGATGTAGGAAAGGAGAACTGAGATAAACTACAGTAAGTAATACAGTATGATGGATTCAGAAAGTTCTGCCCCAAAGAATTCAAAGGAATATCTAAGGAATGACATAACGGCTACCTCTGGTAAACATTATCTTTGTGGCTACTGTGCGGCCTTCACGAATATAGCAGTCACTTTTCCCATCCAGAAGGTCCTCTTTCGACAGCAGTTGTATGGTTTGAAAACAAAGGATGCAGTACATCAGCTGCAGAAGGATGGAATTCGCAATCTCTATCGTGGCATCCTTCCTCCACTAATGCAGAAAACAACGACGCTGGCTCTGATGTTTGGCTTGTACGAAGATTTCTCCTCCCTGCTCCATAGCCACACAAGTGCTCCTGAACTCCTCACTCGCAGCATGGCAGCAGTGCTTGCAGGGACCACGGAAGCCGTTCTTACACCTTTTGAGCGGGTTCAGACTTTGCTTCAGGACTACAAACACCATGATAAATTTACAAACACTTACCAGGCTTTCAAGGTACTGAAAGTCTATGGAATGAGAGAGTATTATCGGGGATTGGTGCCTATTCTGCTCCGAAATGGGCCCAGTAATGCGCTCTTCTTTGGCCTACGGGGACCTATCAAACAGTGTCTGCCTGAAGCAACCTCTTACAGCACTCATTTGGTCAATGACTTTATCTGTGGAGGGCTTTTGGGTGCCATGCTGGGATTCTTGTTTTTCCCAGTGAATGTCGTAAAAACTCGCATGCAAGCTCAAATCGGTGGTGAATTTCAGTCCTTCTCAAAAGTCTTTGTGAAGATCTGGCTGGAACGTGATAGAAAACTGAACCACCTATTCAGAGGAGCCCATCTGAATTACCATCGTTCTGTCCTGTCCTGGGGAATAATCAATGCAACCTATGAGTTCTTGCTAAAGCTGTTGTGAAAACCACTGTCTTCCTTCAGCTCTTCTGTTCATTTGGGTATTGGCATGTATGATGCCCAGGGAACACTTCCTGTGTAGTGTGAAAGGTAATTAGTCTTGGCCTTCGATATTTATGGGGTGAATGGTGATGCATCTTAAACCTTGGTGCAATTAAGATGAACTTTTTTAAGTATTTATTTGCTGGCAGGTGAGTTTACCCATAATGGAGCTACTAGACAAATACAAAGTTTAAAAAAAAAAAAAAAAACAAACAACAAAAAAAAACCCCAAAAACCACCAACAAAAAAAACCCCAAAACTTATGTTAGTCCAGCGGCTTATTCTGTATCACTCCCAAAATTTCTTAACGCTCCGTGATGGAATGTGCTCCACTGCCCATGTTGTAGAACATGAAAATCAAGGAGGGGCTGATGAAAATTGATTCCCTTGCCTGATAAACTACAAAATCTCAATTTAAGAGCTGCATTTTCAAATGTTTTAGTATCCTAAGTACTCCTTATTGTTTAAAGCTAAAAGGACAGATCCAGATGAGGATGACTGAAGTTTAGAACTTCAAGCTTAAACTAAGCCTACGCAAACTCTTCTGCCAGCCATTTTGATGCTTGGCTTTAAGATGAGCATTTCATTCAGTGGTTACTGAATGTTTAACTTCACTGTAAGCTGACTCCAGTTCAAAGTGGGATATCTCTGTGTGTATATGTACGTGTGCCTTCATGTGAAAAAGGGAAAAGTGGAAGGAATGAAACAGCAAATTTACTACAGCTTTAAAGTGTCCTTCCTTGTTAAAAAAAAATCCTTCTACTTGTAAACATGGAGTTTGTTCTGCTCTTTTTTTTTTTTTTTTTGGCATTGCTGCTTTTTCTGTTGCAAAGCTATGGGGCCAGAAAGAAGATGGCCCTTTCTGTAATGCTCATGAAATAGTTCAGCTTCCTGCGGTTGTGAAAGTTCACAAACACAGCTCTCCTGTACTGAGGTATCTTGTCTTTTGCAAATTACTTCTGTTTCATTTGGGCTGTGGAATAATGGATCACAAGATATTTTTACCTGAAACTTGGAGTTCTGCCTACTTGATGTGTACTGTTTAACAGTTCTGTAAGACAGGATTGTACGGCAGCACTGACAAGATGAGGTTTCTGGGTATTACCCACTACAGTGGACAACTGCAAGTGTAGCAGAGACGACAGCCAAAGATGACCTTAGAAGCAGCTAGGTAGGGAAGATCCAGCATTTGGAGACGTGTTTAAGGACTTCTGTAGGTGAGTACTGTAAAAGACTTAAAGAAATATGAAGTATTATGTGTCTTACAGACTTGGGAGTTGAGAGATAAAAGACTTCAGGCCTTAGAGAAAGGGCCAGAAGAGCAAGCATCACCATAAAACAGGTGAGGGTCTTAAAAACCATTTGATTCTCCTGGGGGACTTTAGTTTATGAAACTGTATAAAACAAAATATTTTGGATGATGGGGGTCAGGAAAACTTTCAGAAACTGGTCTGAATTGGTCTTTTCATAACTTTTGGAATGGCTATTAATTTTTTGAGTTTTCCATTCACTAAACTGTCCCCAAATATTGATTCTAATCAGTGTGTTATAATCATCATATAGTCCCTAGCTTCACAGTCAAAAATGACCAGGAATAAGTGAGCATTCTTGTATCTGAATGTTGTGATTATCTGCATTTAAATAAAACGTCTACTGAATGTTTGTTACTGTCAGAATCTGATTCTTACCAGTGTACTTTTTTTTTTTTTTTGTAATCACTCCTTGATGGAATAAAAGAATTTGCATCCTGTTTCTCCATGGAAGATAGTATATACTTCTCTAATGTTGGGAAATCTGAATCGTTGAGGGTAAGAGTTTAACATAAGGTTGCTACTAAGTGGTGATTGCCATTACTGTAGCAAAAAGAAAAAAGCGCAGTCTGGGTCTGTTGCTGTCTTGGCTTTCGTGGCACAGTTTGATGGAGTGAACTGCAGGTCTGTCATGGAGTTACAGAATCATAGAATGGTTTCGGTTGGAGGGGACCTTCAAGATCATCAAGTCCCACCTCCCCCTGCCATGGGCAGGGACACCTTCCACTAGACCAGGTTGCTCAAAGCCCCATCCAACCTGGCCTTGAACACCTCCAGGGATGGGGCAGCCACAGCTTCTCTGGGCAACCTGTTGCAGTGCCTCACGCTCCTCGCAGTGAAAAATTTCTTCCTAGTATCTATTCTAAATCTACCTTCTCTCAGTTTGAAGCAATTAACCCTTGTCCTATCACTATGTGCTCTTGAAAAAAGTCCCTCTGCAGCTTTCTTATAGGTGCCCTTCAGATACTGGAAGGCTGCTTATAAGGTCTCCCCAGAGTCTTCTCTAGGCTGAACAACCCTGACTCTCTGAGCCTGTCCTCACAGCAGAGGAGTGCCATCTCTCTGATCATCCTTGTGGCCCTCCTCTGGCCCAACTCCAACAGGTCCATGTCCTTTGTACATTGGGGGCTCCAGAGTTGGACGCAGTTGGGTCTCATGAGAGCAAAGGAGAGTGGCAGGATACAGTTAGCTTTCTGGGCTGAGAGCACACATTGCCAGCTCACTTTGAGCTTCTCTCTCACTGACATGCCCAAGGCCTTCTCCTCAGGGCTGCTCTCTACTTTCCAACCAGCTTCTATTTGTGCATGGGATTGGCCCAGCCTGTCTGCAGGACCTTGCACCTGGCCTTGTTGAGGTTCATGAGGTTTGCAGGGGCCCACCCCTCAGGTCTGTCAAGGTCCCTCTAGATGGCATCCATCCCCTCCAGTGTGTTGACTGCTCCACCCAGCTTGGTGTTGGCAAACTTGCTGAGGGTGCACTCCATCCCAGCATCTATGTCACCAACAAAGATATTAAACAGTACCGGTCCCAGTACTGACACCTGAGGAACACCACTTGTCACTGATCGGCACTTGGACATAAAGCTGTTGACTGCAACTCTTTGAGTGCAACCATCCAGCCAGTTCCTTATCCACCAAGTGGTCCATTGGTCAAATCCACATCTCACCAATTTAGAAACCAGGATGTTGTGTAGAATGGTGTCACATGTTTTGTACAAGTTCAGGCGGATGACATCTGTTGATCTCCCCATATCCACCCTTGCTCTAACTCCATCATTGAAGGCCACCAAATTTGTCAGGCACGATTTGCCCTTAGTGAAGCCATGTTGGCTGTCATCACAGAACTATGCTCAAGTATTATCTCTGCTTCAGAACCACTGACAGTTTTACAGCACAATGAAAGGCATTGCATGCTTAACAAATTACAGCTGTTATATGCGTAATGCAACTGCTACTCATAATCAATGAAGAGAAGGGTCCACTGAGTTTTGGCACAGAAGCGACTGTGAGATGGACTCTGTAGTTTACTAAGCAGGATGTGTTGCCAGTCTGGGAAGAGCACACTGAAGGAGTTACAATACTTCAACTAACATGAAAACAACTTTGTCCAGTCTTAATAAACTGACTATACCCATACTTAATACAGTTGCAATTTAAGAACAAAAGTCATGGAAGCATCAGGAAAGAGTAGCTCTCCAAACCAAGCCTAGCTAGCAGTGTTTCTGTGTTGCCTTGTGTGCAGGTCAGGGTCAAGGCAGGAACTGTGAAGGAGAAAGTGTATTGTAGAGAAGCAGCCTTGGCCTCGGTTACCTTCCCTGGCAGGTTAGTACCCTTTAACATGGGACAGCTCAATCGTTTGTTGCTTTACCTCATCACTGTTGCCACGGTTGCAAGGGGAACTAAACCAGGACATTGCCAGAACAGCGAGAGGAGCCAGGCCTCAGTTACTGCCTTCTCTAAAAACATGCAGCTAGTTCCCTGCCCATGGAACCAGATGATCTTTAAGGGCCGTTCCAACCCAAACCATTTAAGCTCATCAGGTAGTCAAATTGGACCAGTTCTTAGCTGTTTGCATGGGGTAGGTGGGAAGAACACAGCCATTTCCATGGGAAAGTAAACTAACATGAAGGCAACAGCTCCCAGCAGTTCTGAAATGACAGCGCAGCTGCAGAAGGCAAGCAGCTCCAGTAACAGCTGTGAGAAATAAATATCATGTTAAGTTTTTCCTCACAGAAACTCATGCCATCACATCTCTAACAGAGAGAGAGCTTTCCTAGTTATTATGCAATGCGTAATGACGGTGCAAGAGAAAGCCACAAGCACTGGCAAGCCCAAACAGCATTTTTGCAGTGCTAGGGTAGGTAAACTAGATATAGCACATTATTTTATGCTGTTTACCACTGCCTGCTCTGGCAGTGTGCGTCAACCAGGGCTGTTGTATGGCTAAGATGTTTAGAGGCAAATTTTTACTCTTCTGATCTCATTTTCAGGGAAACTTGATGGAACAGCACTACAGCTGGCTTTGTGACGCACAAGCTTGAGAACTGTAGCAGCAGCTTAGTATTACTGCCTTTACAGCAAAGCCAGGGCAACAAAGTGTGCTCATTTCATCAGCTGCTTAGCCTGTATCCCTTTGCCCCAACCCAAATCCACCTTCTGATTTAAACCCAGAAGTCACTTTGCTCCTCTGTGTGTTGAGGCCTCATTTGCAGGGAATACAACATCCAATAACCAAGTGATCTGCACAACATGCCCTGAGCATCCAGTGCCCCATTGGTCCTGCAGGACACTGACATTTGCTCTTCAGGTGATGCACAGGAAGAGCTTGGGTTTGTGCAGATGCTGCTTTCACTATGCCTGGTGGCTTCACTGGAGCCCAAACCTGTGCAAGGGGAAGTGCAACAGGGCAGAGCATCACTCTGGGCACAGACAACCCACGACCTGCTGTCTCAGACACAGCTATCCACAGCAGAGCAGGCAGGACAGTCTTCAGTTTCAGGCTGTTCGCTGTGGGCGGATAGTTGGCTGCTCACAACTGCAAGACGCCTTCAGCAAAATCTTGAAGAACAGCAATGCTGCCTTCAAGGGTTTGCTGTTTGAACAAAGGATCTCTCTGTACTCCACAGGTGCTGTCTGAAGCAATGGAATGGTGTATTACACTTGGTTTGTAATTATGATACTAGTCCCAACATGTGTCCTGCTCTCTTCATGAGTGAGCTGCTGCTTCTCACAAGCATGCTTGATGGTAGGGACAGTAGCTAAGAAACCCATGGAGGGAAAGAGACCCGCATACAGAGGTTGTTTGCTGCAAGCACTGCTTTTTTTTTTTTTCCCCCCTCTTAGTTGTAGGGAGTAGGCAAGAACCAGCAAGCATTACAGAACAGAGCTCAGTGTAAGATAAATACATTAAAATAGATTTTAATTCATTGCATTATTAAATGTTTAATTTATTATGCAAGCAAGAGAAACTGTCCACAAATAGCAAGTTACTGTACGGCTGTAAGTACAATATTTTCAGAGCAGTTCTGATACTTTCTATATGTATTAAAAGGCTACAATTTTTACTATGAAATCTCAGGTATTCCAAAATATTTTACATGCACAATTTGTTCTTGTATTAAAAACCTTACACTTATCTGAAGATACTTAGTGCTTAAGAAAATGCACCTTTGACCAAGATCAGGAAATGAGATGTTTCTGTTTCCTGGAGGACAAAAATATTATGGGCTGTTGAATATTTCCTTGTACTCCATCCTTTTAGAATCTTGTAAAGTAGATTTTTTTTAAAAAGCTTTCATTTGGCAAGTGTATTTCTTTTTTCTAGAGGTTCACATTTCATAGAGCAACAGACCCATGTTTTACGATATCAGGACCTTCTCCACATCAGCATTACCCAAATTAAAAAAAACAAAAACAAAACCAAAAAACACACCACCAACAAAAACAAACCCCCACCAAAATCAACCAATCCCCCCACCCCCCAAAACCCCAGAAAAAACTGATGTTTACATTCTAATTCTGGTAGTAGGCAATCAAACTGTCCTAACGAAGACTCCAAGAGTGCAAACAAACGTGTATGTTTGTCTATATCACTGTGCTTTTCTTCCTATCCCCAATAGTTCTGGAGGTTACATTATTCCCTGAACTACCCATGTTTGACAAGTGGACTGATGGTCTGTGGATGTATATATACTGAAATACACATGCACCACGCCCCCCCCCCTACAGAGAAAGTACATATACAAGAATGTCACTGTATAGTGCCATTAATAGTTTCTCTCCCCCTACCCACAAATGTCTGACAGTGCTGCAGTGATTTAAAGACTGACCTCTAACGGAATACGCAGAAAATGCATTTACTCCCACAACATATAGTCATTGGACTATTACCAAAGGATTACTAGCTTCAACCACTAGTTTGGATCCTGGAGACGCTGCTATACGCTGACATTCCTATTGCGACCTTAATTATGCAGTTTATCTGCTTCTGCTGATGAGCCATGCTGTGAATGGAGGAATTCCTTTACTATAGAAGTTAATGAATATGAAACCATGCATTTAAAAAAAACATACTGCATGCTTTACAATCGAATGGAGAGCTCTATCTTTAGTAGACATACTGTAAAATTTCTCAAGTGATTTGATACTTGAGTAGTTGAAAGTAAACCAGTTTTAAAGAAACCACTGGTATAAGCCACTACCATACTTTCCTGTTGGTGCAGTCTTTCATCTACCATTTGAAACATTTCTTATATTTATTTCAGACAGTTTTATATAGTTCTGGAAAGTTAAGAATTCATTTTTTGAAACATAACAGTAAGATAAACTATCTAGAAATAATCCAAAGCTCACCAACAAATTACTTCATTAATTCCATAAGGCAAGGTAACATTATTCAGAAAGACAACTGAGAATCAGTCCTTCCACCAAGATGCAACTGCAAGGCATATGAGTTGTAAACTACTGAATAGTGTTTCAATAAGTGTTATGTGAACTTCATAGGTAAAATAGATTAACCTTTGTTGAAAATTTCCAAGTATTGTTGAAAAGGAGTAATTAAATGATCAAAATCTAAGATTACCTACTTTTTCTAATTCAAACTTTTACAAATGTAATCAGAAGAACTAGGTAACATTTCTACAGCATACATGGACAGAATCCATCTTAATATGCATCTGCTGGACACGCTACAAAAGCATCAATGTAGAATCAAACCCCTTAACCAGGTCACCCTTCAGCATCAGTCCTACGCTCCTGCTTAGTGGCCCTGGTTTCCAGGGTTGGGCAGGGCTGGTCAAACCACCACTCTTGGTGCTGGGCGCTGCAGGTAGTATCTAGATGTGATGACACACGTCACTTTGGAGTAACAGCTCTTTATACAGAAAAGTTAGTGTCCAATGCTTCAGCATAATACTCTTGTAAAAAACAGCATATCATGAGGTAGAATTTAAAAAGTAACACTCAGTGCATATTAACAGGCATAGAAGTCACTAGCAATCTACCAGTTCAAGGAATTTCTGATAGGAAAAACCAAAACCAGCTATGAAAACAAATAAACCAACCAACTGACCCAAGAACTTCCTTGATTTCATGGGTGCCTCTAAAATGAACACAGTTCAAGCCTATGAGAACAGTATCTAATATTTCAAAATGTCACCAGTAGTCCCTTTAATGATGTTAAGCAAAACATTAAAGAAGATGAGAAAACAGCAGCCTAGAAGTGGGGAGAGTGAGTGCTTAGGGAAAAAGCCATCATGGTCCAGTGCAGGGACCAGGGGAGAACATGCTGCCACTGGGGTTTTTTTGCACCCCTCCCACCACCACCCCAAATAGCTTGGCCAATTAAAAACTTCTTGTAGCTTAGCTCCTCCTTCACATAAAACTCTTGTATTCCACAACTGTCCTCAAGTCTTCTGCACACTTCAATTCCATTGCTTTAAGTCACAGAGAAGGGATTTCTCCCTGAAATGCTTCTAACAAACCCACAAATCTAAGCTGTCCCAGATGTAGGTTCTGGTTCACAGGCTGTTATACGCATGCACGTGGAGCTCAGTGTAAATGGAAGCGATGTATTTCTAACTGGTCTCAAACAAACTTCCATGTTTTATTCATTCAATCACTAGGCTCCATTTTTCATGGCTTGGCCAATTATAGTGAAAAAATACCTTTTTATTGTGTTCCTTGCACGCAGTTCCAAAAGCATTCAAAAGGTACAAGTCTTTCAATTTAAGAGTCAGTGTTTTAGAAAACAGGGCATCTCTCTTCATTTACAATTTCATCAATCTACTTTTGAGGTCAAGAGAACAGTTTCAGCAACAACAGAACTGCTCAGAAGATATGCTGTGGAACATTTCAACCTATGAGTTGCTATCTGAGAAGACTATGGGCATTTAATTTGTATTTTAAGTTAACTGAGTATATTTACTTAAACAATTATTCTTCCTGCCCCAGCCAGGATGATATTCTACTGAGACACCATCACCAAATAATTCTGTTAAAAACCCATGAGACTAGAAAGCTTAGGACTTTTACCAAACAGTAGGAAGTCTACCAGCTGCACATACTTGACTACTTGAATGTAGTCCTCTAGCAGTCAGTTGCTAGAGGTGATGAATACCCAATGCAGGACTAATTAACTAGTCCTCAGATTACCAAATACCCAATATTGAAGGCTTTGTATTACTAAAGAAATCCTCCAAAAGAAGAAATTTAAGATATTTTTCTCATAATGCAAAGGAACCTTACGTTCCAATGACTTCTCCACCAACACCCAGAATATGCTACCTATGCAAATCCAAAACTACAAGAGGATCGTCAGGCTTACGTATTTCCAGCTATCTCATCTTCATAGATGTCTTAATTTTCCCCAAACACGTATTTTGCAAAAGGCTTTATAAGAGTCAACTTTTAAAAAACATGCTCTGTCGAGCCAGAGATACTGAATCTGAACAGCAAAATATGACAGTCCTTTTTAGGTAAAGTTTCCTGGTGAATTGAGTGTGTGATTGGTCAGCAAAACCTTAGTGAAATACTGAAAAAAAACCCCATCTTGGAACACGATGAGAATATTATAAATTGATATGGATGTACAAGACTGAAATAACTGCATTTACAAAGTTAGCTATATTAACTTGAGGGCTAAAACTTGGCATCCATACTTAATATGTGATTTAATGCTGAATATTAACATTTTTCACATCTTATGATAAGACCCGTTAAATCCAAATAGATCTTACTGTAGACAGGCATGCTTTTAATCCATTCCCAGACTGACAGTACATGTGAAGAAAGGCTTATCTGGTGATACTACGGACACATCCTAGACGAATTCCTCTCACAGCAATGGTGAAGGCAAGGTGCGGAAGAACAGTCAGGTGGGATACAGCCTTAACAGCAGCAGAATATTCTGCAGTGTTAAGTTTCAAACATGGGATTAAGCTTTATGTTACTGATGTGGAAAGCTCCCTACAACAGAAACCCTGGCAGCCGAGGAGTCAAAGTTGCCCAAGAGAGCCTGACCAAGGACACCCCCGTTGTATGAAAAGTCCAAACAGTTCATCTGCAGTGGTTATAGGGCAGAGTCTTCACCCATTCAACTCCCACTTCCCTGCCCCAGTCTTCCTACTAAATTCTCTGAGGAAAAAATGCAGCTACATCTCCATCCAGAACCTCTTCCTTCTAGCAATAAACACAATATATGCAATCACAGAAAAACATGTTTTAACTGCAACGAAACATTACAGAAAGTTGGCTCATTTTTCTAGCCAATCACAAACAACCAAATTAATACATAAATTAAAACAAAATTTCCTTTTCTTTCTGTGACAGTAACTAATTGTGTTAGTTACACAGAAAAGCAGCTCATTGTCCAATAATCACCTTATAGTAGTTTCAGCAACAGAAAAGGCCAAGGAAGCATATGTGAGGAAGTCCAGCTCCTTTGGAATAAGGAGGTGTCGTACCCACGGAGCCTGGGCGTGTTTTAGATGAACTGCAACCCTTACCCCCTCTAGATTTGTTTCAAAAAGCCCACTTCAAGTTGCATTGAGGGAAATTATCGACAAGTATTTTGGTACAAACAAACCAGAACAATGACTAGATGGCACAGGATCAGCAGGAGCAGAGGTCTGCTTGGAAGGCTGAAAACACAGCACATGGAAGCGGACTTGTGGGTGCAGTATGAGAACGCATAGAGTGCTGGGCTGGAAACTCTTTCCGCTGTTGTGTTCAGAGATCATAGTAACTATGATCTTATCTGGATTGAGAGATTTCAGAAAGAACATACTTCAACTAAACTCAAGTAAAAACCACAAACATCTGAATGTCCTGTTGATGCAAGATGTGCCTAGAACTTTGGCTGATACAGAGAAACACGTCCGCTAAGGCACCCCGAGGCAATCTGACAGTGTGTTGGAGAAAACTTTGTTGTCAGTACCACGTCATTGTGAGAGTAGAGGGAACGGATTTCTTTCAGGGGGCTGGCTTCTTTGGGCAAACAGTCGACAAGTTCGCTGCAGTGTGCATCAAACCCCAACAAGCGGATCCCAAAGCCATGCGGGGATGAAATCATCCGGCCATCAGGACTGAAACAAAGTTCTTTGATGTAGCCCCGGCCCACATTGGCTTCTTCAATGCAATGAGTCAATCGCAGGGAACAACGAGGTGAGACGGGGCGCACAGGGGCTCCTTCCTGGAATTCATAGACACAAGTCCACTAAAGGGAGAGGCAGAGAAAGGACACTGAAAAAAAAGTAAAGCACTGCAAATACACATTCCCTCCCGCTGCATGTTAAGTGAGTAACACAGGAATGACCAATGCTATTGCTTATCTACTCTTCGATAACCATCTACTGTGCAACACTGAAGACAGGCTGGTCCATTGGCGTCTCCTCCGCTTTGAACTGCTAAACAAAACAGCTGTCTAGCATTCAAAGCTACTTTTTTAATTAAAGAGATGATAGATATAATCTTTTAAATCTAGTTTTTATCTGAAAAGAGTAAAGCCTAATCCTTTGGCAAGGCATCTGCTCTAGTTTTGTAGACATTTAAATGAAATCTATAATAAACTAGAACTTAGCCTACTGTAATTTACAATTGACCATTGGAATTTTTTGCCCATAACTTCAAAAGGAAAGAAATGAACCACTCTATAGCCAGCTTGTTACTTGTGAGTAACAGCCAGGGATTTTAATGTTTAATCTAATTAACTAATCTCAAACCAAATACAAAAACAGCTCTATGACAAAGTTTGTATCGTGTTGAAAGATTCAAATTCAGCCACAAGACAAAAGAAGTGTTCTTAGTTCTGTTCCATGTAATCTACTGAAATAAACACCAAGGGAACAATACTAATGAATATTAATAGAAGACAGTAAAGCAGACACTAGGACCATGGGAAATTGTAACTAGGCCAATCATCAGTATCAACTAACTCAATATAATATTTGCATTTTCAAAAAATTCTGTGTTGCATAGAGGTTTTATTGTAAGTTTACAGAACAAGCATTAAAATTTGTAGCAAATCTGCTAAGCTTCCATTCAGTCTGTAAGAGGTTCCATACACGTCTGTAAGAGGTTACCATTACAAAGAGTGCCTCACAAAAAAAAACCCAAATAAACAAACCAAAAAACCCAACCAAACAAACCCTAAACAAACCAAAAATCAAACCAACCCCAACTTACATCAGCTATCAAATTAAGTAAACTGTTTATTATTGGTCAAGTATTGAAATAATTCTTTGTGGTTTTGGAAAACAAATATAAAAGCTCTGTGTCTTAAAAACAGAGTGGTCTGCACAACTACCACAGCAATAGCTTTGAAATAACCCTAGGAAAAAAAGGTGTTTGCAAGAGGACCATCTGGTGGAATCCAGGTGTTCTGAAGGCTCTGGCTGGACACTAAGTTGTAAGTGAACTTGAGTTAACCTGAAAGTTACTTCTTCAAAAGCAGGTGCTCCCAAACACAACCTGCAGGCTCTTGCTTTCTGTATACAGTCCATGAAGAAGTTCTTTCATTATTTCCGAGTGCATTACAGACTTCTCATTTGTCTTACAACAGGGTCCCAGTGCAATATGGCAATTATTATGTGATGCTTCACAAACAGAATCTGGGAACATAATCCAACACTGGCCTTAAAGTCTGCCATTACTTCAGAAGGCAGAGCCACCCTGCAGAAAGGCCTGGATAGGATGGAAGAGTATGCTAACAAGGACTTTATGAAGTTTAACAAGGACAAGTGTAAGCTCTTCCACCTGGGAAAACACAATCCAGGAGTGCAGCACAGGCTGGGATGTACCTGGCTGGGGAGTAGCTCTGTGGAAATGGACCTGGGGTACAACAAGCTCAATATGAGTGAACAGTGTGCTGCTGCGGCAAAGAAAGTCAACAGGATGCTGGGCTGCATCAACAAGGGCATCACCATCAGAGAGAAACAAGTTATCCTGCTCTACTCAGCACTTGTGAGGCCACACCTGGAATACAGCGTTCAGTTTTAGTCCCCACTATACAAAAAAGATGTGGACAGGCTGGAGAGCATCCAGAGATGTGTCACCAACATGATCAAAGGACTGGGAAGCCTGATGTATGAAGAAAGGCTGAGAGAACGGGGTTTGTTCAGCCTTGACAAAAGGTGGCTTAGGGAAGACTTTATCACCATGTTCCAGTATTTAAAGAGTGGCTACACAGAAGATGGAGAGTCCCTTTTTACAAGGAGTCTCATGGAAGAGACAAGGGGTAATGGGTACAGGTTGCTCCTGGGGAGATTCTGATGGGACACAAGAGGAAAATTTTTCACAATGAGAATAATTGGCTATAATCTCCAGGGAAGTAGAGTATTCCCTATCATTGGGCACTTTTAAGATTCAGCTGGACAGGGTGCTGGGCCATCTTGTCTAGACCGTGCTTTTGCCAAGAAACGCTGGACCAGATGATCCTTGAGGTCCCTTCCAACCTGGTATTCTATGACTCTATGATTCTTTAAAGCAGCATTTAGGTGAGTGAAATCTGCAAGCTGCACAGGAGCTGTAGCTGGTCTTATGACTTAGTACTTCAAATAAAGGTTTTAAATGAATACTGCCAGGAAGATCATTGATACCCCATTTATATTTAAGTTAGAGAGTTTTAGGATGAGAGTTGAGACTAAGGCACTTTCTTACATAAACTTCACGGGAATTCATCATATTCAGACCTATGATGTGGCAGTTTATAAGCAGACGCAGAAATATTCCACGAGTTTTTTTTCACAGCAGTGTAGGAGCAGCCTCTGGAAAGCATTCATCGGCACAGCAGGAGCACTTCATCCCTGAAGCACCAATGAAGGCAGAAAACATTTCAAAGGCACCTGAGGAACTCATAGGAGCTTCTCTGCTCAACTTAAACCATGTCCACCAGTACACAACTCTCTAACCCTCTGTATTCTCCAAGTTCACACCTCCTATATTTTGGCAGTTACATATTTTTAAGTCATGTATTTGGCAGCACAACTACTATTCAAAAACTATTAACAGATCTGGGAAGGATAAAACATATTCTGTGACAGAACTGGGCAACAGGAGTACTGAATGCAGGCTACAAAGTCATACGAGATCATTTAAAAAAAAGAAAAAAGAATTTCCTAATCTTTGTAAAATTAATGCATTTGTAAGCAGAAATAACTGACTAATTTATTCAAACGCAAATTTACCCCAAAACAAAGAAATTTCTATACAGTTGTATGATCAATACATCTCACTTAACGTATTTTTTTAAAAAACATATTTGTTTTACCTCCTGGTCATCTGTATTACTTGAGCACCGAAGAAGCGTAGCCCACCCTTTTGGATGTAGCTGTAGGGATGTAATGCAATTGCCTCGATCTCTTTCTCCAGGAACTTCTGGTGTTAAGACCTCCAAACTATTTCTAGGTGATCCACCTAGAAGGCGAAGTCAACTGTAAGTCTCAATGACGCCTATAAACTGATTTTTACCCCATCAGTCTAGTGCTGAAAGGTCAAACAAGTTGACGCTTGCATCTGACTGCTAGCAAAGACCACACCTTTATGAAAGGGTAAATGAAACAGGAGAAACTGAAGCTAAAACCAGTGGGCTCAGTCCTGATTTCAAATACCTTCTTTTTTGAAATTTCCTTCAAGAGCTGCATTAAATCACCTCATATCCTGACCTAAGTCAGAGTTAAGTTCCCACATATATGCTCTTCATTATCATTAGAACAAAGTCTAAAGAGTGGGGTTTTTTAAGAACTACTGGTTCTTAAACTTGTATGACCTCCTTTCCAAATTCCTTCTAAAGTCTGCTCAGCTGGATGCAGTTTGACTCCCTTCTCCCTCTCACACCTAGAAAGCTTTTCACAGCTAAATCATGCCCTGGCATTCTTTTGTAAGTATGTTAGTGGATCTCACAACCATGAATAGTTAGAAATTAACATTATGCTTATTTTAAATTGCATGTGATTCACAAAGTATTTGCCAATTTGCCAAGTTCACACTGACTCTCTGAAAGTATCTTAGATTCAGAGGAAGCCTGCTAGAGCATCATCAGTTTTCATAGCTCTGTAGATAGGCAGGACTTGGTTTGTAATCACAACTTCACAAAACACTTTCCACATTTAGGACCTCTTTGCATACTCTTTTTCCATGCTATTGAATCCTCATGGAGAAAATGCAAGTACATATTCCCATCATTAAGGAAAAAAGCAAAACATAGCGATGTTCTGCTCTGCTATTGGTTTTGGTTTTGTTTTTTTTTTTCTTTTTTTCCCCTGAAGGTCATTCACACAAACTTTGTTTGAGGAACAAAAACAAGGAAAAGGGAGCACCTCTACATAACAATAATAATGTGCTCATATAAAATAAAGATCTTGTTGCTGTTATCAAATTTCTTGCAAAAAAAAATGGTTAGATCCCCAGACTTTGGTGTGCAATGATATTTTATTGGTTTAATAGAAGTCATAGCAACACTATTCTTTTAAAAGTCACAGAGACAAAAATGCAGTTCTTCACTACTGTAGTCTGGTCTCTTCTGGATACAATGAGTCAGTCCACGATTTTTTATTTTCATTTTTAGAAAAAATATTTTCCTACCTTCTCGCTGGGAGGACCGTGACATGTGTTTCTCAGACAGTAGACTTGAATCATTCTGGTGACACGGTGAACCTACAGCTCGAGGACCAGACGAACCTGATGATGTTATGTCTGCAAACAGCATCAGCCATGAGAACAGATAAGCACAGCCTACTTAACATGCATGTCCCTCACTTAACACTCCTTAGAAATGTTAAGTAAAGGGTAAGGCACCCTTTAAGAAAACATTTTTCAAAGCTCAGTTGATAGTCTAAAAGTACCATTCTGATTGTGCCTCATACAAATAAACTGCCAGCACAACAAACTCTGCTGGGAATAAGAAGCAAGCTGCATTCCTTCCTTCTTACCTGCTGTGACTACTAGAAGCCGGGGTACAAATTCTTTCCCAGGCCACTCCCTTTATATCCTGACACCCGAAATGGCAGAGTTTCTGTCAGTATTTTGCTCTGTTACTGCCATAAAGCAGTGAAATTTCAGACCACACGATTCTTCCAGGTCTGCTGTCAAGAGCAACCACACCACTGCACAATAGTCATTAGTAGTTGCTGGAGCTCACATGCAGTCAAGCCCACTCAACATGGGTTAATTTTCTTTTATTACAGGACCAAGATAAATAAATAAAGATAAATAAAGCTAAAATCTGCCAGCTTGAGGTGACAAAATTCCACAGGTGCTATATCCTGTAGTGCTGACATCTCAATACCAAATTTTTTTATCTGACTTTACCTGAGTCAGACCATAGCACTCGACAATACAGATGTGTGTGACCCCTGAACAACAGAGCAGCTACTGTGCCAAAGAGTTCCTTGGTGGAATCCTCGTGACTCCACCTATATCTTCTTTTCCTAGCTATAAGTATCCCATGAAACACTTTTAACAGAGAAGCTGCCACAGACTTTTCCACAAGCATTCACCTGAACTTGTTGTAGTCCTCCTAGCTCTTAAAATTGGGTAGCTGCCAACCTCTAAAGATTTGTTTAGGTCAAGGTCATGCAAAATCAGAAGATATCCAGAGGAGGTCGAGATCAACATTTTGGAACAGTCTGGTGTAAGCCTCATTCGCATAAGAAAACGGGTGTGAAAAAACTTCTTGTGGGGACATCCATCTTCTGTGCACCTGGACAGCAAAAAAAAAGCACAAGAAATGGCAGCAATTAGGTTCGACTCAAGTCCCTAATAATGTCCAGAAGAGTCCAAGATGTGCTAAGCATCCTTGTTCATTCAAAAAAAAATTTTAGTTATCTTTATCCTACCTAAATCAGATTTTCATGAAATGGCAGAAGTCACATATTCATACTACCACAACAATGAAGACAATTCTTAAAAAAAACCAACAAACCACATGCAAAAACCTGAACTACATTTAACATGTCAGCAAGAAAAGCTCTCTTTTTAGCTACCAGATTATTACCATATAAAGGTGATGCAAGTTCTTGATAAGGGCTATAAACTAATCACAGTATTTAAGAATGCATTATAGCACCACTCAGGGAAGCAGGTTTTCCATCCTGTACAGAAGAACCCTATCCTCATGTGTTCTAGAAATGTTCACAGCAGTAACACAGCCACATACCTGTTTGTGTCCCAGATGATCACATTTCCATCAAACCCTGACGTTACTAGTAATCTCGTATTGGTATCATACTCGATGTTCTTAACCCAGCTAGTGTGACCATGTAAAGTGCACACTTTTGTGTTCAGCTTTCTCAAATCCCAAAGTGCTATTGTAGTGTCATCAGAACAAGTCGCAAACAGTCGATTATCTAGAAACCTGAAAATGGGAGAGAAATACTGTAGCTAATTAGTGCCTTTTCTAATTTAAATATTCTTAAGCAGGAATTTAAGCTAATAGAGAAATAAATACAGTGGTGACACACACACAAAAAAATAACATATAGCAGAATACTTGCCAATAAAATAGTTCCGTTAAAAAACAGTACTGTCAGGATATGAACCAGTAGTACATCTGTAATAGCAAAGCTGTAAATCTGCAGAAGCATAGCAGAAGATTTTTTGTTTCTTTTAATGAATCACTTTACGATCACACAATCACCAAACTACCAGTGGAACAAATGCTCACACAGAATCCTTCCAGTAACTAAATCAATTACCCATCTGGATCATACTCAGTTTTAAACTTACCAAGTCTTTAAAAGACACAAAAGTCCTAGGACTGGTCAGTTTTTGGACCACTGGCAAGATATTCCCACTGACTGGTTTGCAGTCCCTGCAACAGAGGCCTGCTAGCCTAGATTGTTTCTAATTTATGCCTTTCATCTTCCCCATTTTTGCCAGAGCCTTTCACTACTACAGACAGGCAGCACCACAAGACACAGCAATTCTACCTTCATTTATTTCATACTACACATGATCCTATCAGCTCATAATTAATTAAACCCATGCTCTTCTTTACTGTCTTAATTTCTAATTTAACCCACCCTCGTTCTTCCCCTACTATTTTATAAATCTTCCTCTCTTCCTCACCGCAGGCATAAGCTCCCTGCACTCAAAGGAGGTTTCTGAAAGAAAGATCCCCTTGCTGCTCTGTACAGCACACATCCCACCAGCTCAGCGGAAACACTTGGTGCCCAAGCCCCCTTCAGCTAATGCCTGAACACCTCCCCCTCTGCAAGGCCTGACACTGCTCTGTACCACACACAGTCACTCGGCGTTTGATGTAGTCAGTCCCGACTGAAAGCTCTCCACAGATCCTGACCCCTCTAGCAGAGGCAGAACACAGCGCTCGTCGCAAAGCCAGCAACAGGAGCCC